AGGAATTGAACCCAGAGCTTCATGCATGCTGGGCAAGCACTCTACCACGGAGCCACATTCCCAGTGCCCCTCCCCCCTTACTCTTTCAGTTCAGGAACAACTTCTGCTAAGTCTTCTGGCCCCTAGCCCAGTTTGAAGGGTTTTCTGGGCCTTAGGTGAGGACTATCTGCTGAATTGTAGGGGAAAAGTTATGGAAGTAGCCATAGATAGCTTGCTTAGTAAGGACTCACTCTGAGACCTGCCACGTTTCTCCCCCTTTCCACATCTCAACAAGTATTTTTTGGTTGGTTGTAGGGCTTGAACTCAGGGCCTGGGTACTGTTTGAGCCTCTGTGCTCAAAGCCACAGGGCCACTTCTGGTTTGGGAGTGGTTAATTGGAGATAAGAGTCTCATGAGGACTTTTCTGCTTGGGCTGGCTTTGAACCTCAATCTTCAGAGATTAGCCTCCTGAGTACGTAATATTACAAGTGTGAGCCACTGGCACCTGGCTCAACAAGGATTTGTTGAGCATTCCTGTGTGGAGCTTGGTTGTGAGTCCAGCGTTAGAGTATAAATCAGTTTCCTTCATCTTCTGGTTAGTCAGCTGGGGCTGAGAGGGGCAGTTTTCAAGAAAACACTAAAAACATATGTCCTGGCCCCATTAGCTAGGACCCCTGCCCCTCACCCAGAGTTCTCCTAGGATACCTGAAGGAGAAGCTTGGTCAAGGGCCTGCTAGGCACTCTAAGGTTGGGGAGGGCAATCTGGCAGGCCTGTGTTAGGAGGCTGCTACAGCTGCCTCATCTACATGTGGATATCTTATGTGCCCGGACCAACTAGGTTCTTTTTGTGTTTGAACTCATGGCCTTGTTCTTGCTAGGTTGGCACTCTCTAGCACTTGAGCCACACCTTCAGTTCTACTGTTTTTGTTTTTTGTTTTTGCCAGTCCTGGGGCTTGAAGTCAGGGCCTGGGCACTGTCTCTGAGCTTCTTTTGCCCAAGGCTAGCGCTTTACCACTTGAGCCACAGCACCACATCCAGCCTTTTCTGTTTATGTGGTACTGAGGAATTGAACCTAGAGCTTTATGCATGCTAGGCAAGCATTCTACCACTAAGCCACTTTCCCAACCCCATGCGTGGTTACTTTTGAGACAGAATCTCTAGGACTCTTCTGCCAGTGCTTGCCTTGAATTGTGATCTTTCAGATCTCAGCCTTATGAGTACTAGTTGTCCCTCAGCTCTTCAACTCAAGGCGAGCGCTCTACCATTGGAGCTACAGCGCCACTTTTATGAGTACTAGTATTACAGGTGTGAGCCACCAACGCCTAGCTCCCCACATTTTTTTAAGTTAACATCAATATATTGTAACCAGATGCTGGTGGCTCATGCTGGTAATCCTAGCTATTCAGAAGGTGAGCTCTAAAGATTAGGGTTCAAAGCTAGTCTGGGCAGGAAAATCTGTGAAACTCTTTTTTTTGGGGGGGGGTCCAGTCGTGGGCCCTGAACTCTGGGCCTGGGCGCTGTCCCTCAGCTCTTCAGCTCAAGGCTAGTGCTCTACCACTTGAGCCACAGCGCCACTTCTGGCTTTTTTTCTTTTTGCTTATGTGGTGCTGAGGGATCGAACCCAGGGCCTCATGCATGCAAGGCAAGCACTCTACCACTGAGCCACCTTCCCAGCCCTTGTGAAACTCTTATTTCCAATAAACTACCAAAAAGATGAAAGTAGAGCTGTGACTCAAGTAGTAAAACACCAGTCTTTTGCTTGATCTCATCATTACTAATTTTTTTGCTCTCTCATCTCCAATTAACCACCAAAAAGAGCCAAAAGAAGAGCTGTAGCTCAAGTGCTAAAGGACTAGCCTTGAGCACAAAAGCTCAGCTACAACACCTAAGCCCTGACTTCAGGTCTCAGAACTGGCACACTCACACAAAAAGATTACACAGACGTGGTGTGTGTGTGTGTGTGTGTGTGTGTGTGTGTGTGTGTGTGCAATGAGTTGACTATAGGAGCTGTTTGGGAAGACGATGATGGGCACCCATGGCTCACAACTATAATCCTAGCTACTCAGGAAGCAGAAATCTGAGGATCATGGTTCAAAGCTAGCCCAGGCAGGAAACTCCATGATACTCTTTTCTCCAATTAACTACAAAGAAAAAAAAAGCCGGAAGTGGTCCAGATGGTACAGAAGTGGCCTTGAGTGAATAAGCTCAGGGACAGGGACCAGGCCCTGCCACAAAAATAGAAGAAATAGAACAATGAAACCTGTTGAAATTGCTTTAAGAAGTGAGAAGAGAATAGGGAGAAAGATGAAGGGGAGTAGGTGTATATTATATTCATGTATAGAAATGTCACAATAAACTTCTTCCTGTAGAAATAATGTACGCAAATAAAAATCTTTAAAAAAAAAGAACCTTAAGAGCCATCATGTGGTAGTAAAGTACTGTATATGCATGTGTAAAATACCATTATGAATCCCCTTTGAACAATTAGCATACACCAATAAAATGAATGACAAGAAAGGAAACATCTTGTCATAGTGTGCATACTAGCAGGAAAGGGGAGAGAGAATGTGGTCAAAATACTTTTTATACATCTATGAAAATGTAAAAATAAATGTTATGGGGATTGGTTTGGGAAAAGTGACAGAAGGGGTAAATCTGAATAAAATATATTGCAGGTATATGTGGAGATGTAATACTAAAAGTCCTTTACAACATACTTATTTTCTGTTGACTCTTAGGCTTGAACTCAGAGAGCTTGGGTGATATGCCTTAGGTTTTTCACTCAAGACGTGTTTCAGGGGCTGGGAAGGTGGCTCAGTGGTAGAGCGCTTGCCTTGTATGCATGAGGCCCTGGATTCAATTCCTCTGCACCACATAAGCAGAAAAAGCAGAAGTGGCGCTGTGACTCAAGTGGCAAAGTGCTAGCCTTGAGCTGAAGAGCCGAAGGATAGTGCCCAGGCCCAAAGTTCAGGCCCCATGACCAAAAAAAAAAAAAAAAAAAAGAGCCGGGCGCTGGTGGATCACGCCTGTAATCCTAGCTACTCAGGAGGCTGAGATCTGAGGATCGCGGTTCAAAGCCAGCCCGGGCAGGAGAGACCATGAGACTTCTATCTCCAATAAACCACCAGAAAACCGGAAGTGGTGCTGTAGCTCAAGTGGTAGAGTGCTCGCTTTGAGCTGAAGAGCTGAGGGACAGCGCCCAGGCCCAGAGTTCAAGCCCCACGACCGACAAAAAAAAGAAAGAAAAGAAAAAAAGAAAGAAAAATAAAAAAAAAAGACTGGTGTTTCAGCTGAGCACAGGTGGCTCACGCCTGTAAACTTACCTATTTAGGCAGCTGAGATCTGAGGATCTTGATTTGAAATCTTCCCGGAGAAGTCAGTGATATTCTTACTATGCTGAAAAATCTGGGAAAAATCTGGGAGTGGCGCTGTTTCAAATGGTAGAGCGCTAGCCTTGAGCACAGAGAGGCTCAGGGACAGAGCCTAAGCCCTGATCATCTCATTAGTAATGCTACCTGTACTCATCCCCTGATTCCTTTCCTGTGCTGTTTCCTTGTCAGTAGGATAGCCAGGCTCCCCTTTTGTGAGACCTTATAGGGCAGATATTGGCTGCCTGGAAAGACAGACTGGGTAGAGTGTGTTGGTGGTGACATACCTCTGGGTAGCCTATGTCCTTTCAGAGTGTGGAGATACAACCCCAAGAAACTGGGGAAAAAGGGAGCTGGGAATGTGGCTTAGTGGTAGAGTACTTGCCTAGCATGCATGAAGCCCCGGGTTTGATACTTTAGTACCACATAAACAGAAAAAGCCAGAAGTGGTGCTGTGGTTCCAGTGGTAGAGTGCTAACCTTGAGCAAAAGAAACTCAGGGACAATGCCCAGGCCCTGAGTTCAAGCCCCAGGACTGGCATAGAAAAAAGACAACAAAAAACAAAAAATGTGGCTCTAGAAGACCTATTTCCAATTGCTATGGAATGAATTATGAGTTATATGGACCTTCTTATGCTAAATTCACTTGTTAACCCTCATAGAGACTGTATCTGGAGAAGGAATCTTTTAGGAGGTAACTAAAGTTAAAGGAGGCCATAAGGTTTGGGCTCTTGATCAGACTGGTATGCTCATAAGAAAAGGAAGAAAGGGTTATCTCTTAACTCCACGTGGAGACATAGCTAAAACTCAGCCAACTGCCAAAGAAGAAAACCAAGTCAGGAGCTAAATTGGCCAGCCCCTTAATCTTATATTTCTAGTCTACAGAATAGTAAGAAACCAGTTTCTGCTGTTTCAGCCACCAGTCTGCAATGCTTTGTTATGACAGCCCATGACAATTATGGCAGGAAATAAAGGTGCCCCAAATATTCTACACATCTTTTGTTTGTGGTACTAGAGATTAAACCCAGGGCCTCACACTTGCTAGGCAAACAGCTCTACCACATGAACTATATCCCAGTCCTTTATTTTGTTTTTGAAATAGAATATAACTACTACCTTTGTCCTGGCTGGCCTTGAACACTCTTGTCCCTACCTCCTGAGTAGCTAGGATTACAAGCCTGCTGCCACCACCACCACGCCTACATAAGTCTTTATGTAATGTGTGCATTTTTTTTTTAGTTAAACACACTGGAGGGAAAATAAAATAGTTGGAAGTTTACCTTTTGAGGACGCTGCCAAAGCGTTTTGTAAAGTTGCTGTACTATCTTACATTTCCATCAGCAGTATAGTTAAGTTCTATTTCCTCATGTTTTCTTCAACACTTCTTATAGTCAGGCTTTTTAGTGGAAACCAGGTTCCTCGGTGAAGAGAAACAGCAGCGCCAGAGGAAAAGCCAGGCTAAGGGTTCCTACTGGCTCCACAGCCAGGTCTCTTTGCCTGCAGCCAGGTAGGTCACCGCGCGAGTTAGGACACCAGGCACGGGACTGATCGGACCCAGCCGTGTCCAGGCCTGGGCGAGGAGCCAGGTGAGCGCGCCCCTGTGCTAAATACTCGTCGCTGGGCAGCCTTGAGTCCACTGGACGGACCACTGGCCATGGAGTCGCGCACGAGGAACACTGCCGATGCTAGAGGGAGTAGAGGAGGTACTGGTGTGGGGTAGGGAGAGGGAGGGAAAGAGAGCATTCTCAATGGCTCTTGTCCCACCTGTCTGCTCCTCACCTTTTCCATCCTACAGGTGAGGTAAACCGCAGCACTGACGCCCGAGCGGGCAGCAACCAGGGAGGGAGTCCAGAGACCTTGACTGTCCACACTTTCACTCGCGTGGAGGGGGCACCAGACAGGAAGGGGCTCAAGAGTCTCCAGAGAATTGTTTCAGGAGGCGTCTGAGGACGCCTGCGCACTTAGGGTCTCTAGTGAATTCGGTGTTGGGTGAGGGCCTGCTGGGGAGCTGCGGAGGGGGAATCTGGAGGTATTTGGGTCGAGTTGGGGAAACGGGGCCTCTAAGGGAAAGGGAACTACAGGGAGGTAGCAGGGATTGCTTAGAATATCCCGAAGGCGAATCGGGGGTGGGGTGGAGTGGGGCCCCTGGTCTGGGGAGGGGAGCATGTTCTCCGGGGGAGATGGCGAACGAGTTTGATATCTAGAGTCATTAAGGGATAGTTGGGGAGTTCCGGAGAAATGTATAGTGTTGGAAGGTGTCCAGGACTATTGTAGTCAAATGGCTATCTCCAGGGATCGTGGGGGCAAGGAGGAGCTCCACGCTTATACCGCGATGGTCTAGTCTCTATCAGTAGGCGACTTCTAGAACTTGGGAGAGGGTGGCCAGGAGTCCCAGGGTATCTTGAGCTGCATTTCTAGCTCTCGAAACGTCAGAATCGTGGGTGTTTGCCGAGGATTAAGATCCGTGCTGTGATCATTCTCCCCTCTCTCAAGCAGGTCGCGGATTTCCCCCGTCTGCTGGCCCCAGGTCCAGGCAGTTCCTGGCGCGGCTGGACGCGCGTCCCCTGGCGGCCAGAGCTGCGGCGGACGTGTCAGCTCTGGTACGAAGAGCAGGGACCACATTGCGCCTGCGCCCCAAGAAGGGTGAGTGACAGCAGGACCTCCAGAGGGGTGGGGAGGGGAGGGCCTCCAGAGGGGTGGAGCTAGAGTGACTGCTAGGTTTGAAATTACAGGCCTGGGATTGTTAGTTACTCCCCTGGGTGGGCCCAAGGATGTGCTTCAAGAGGGCGGAGTTAGGAGTTGTTTTCAGGGGGCGTGTCCCTTTGAGGTTATTGTGATTAGCAAACGCTTGTAGATTCCTTAAAGGTGCAAGGCTGAGTGGTTATTCGGTTCACTGTGGCTGCAAATACTATTTCTGGAACGTCGGAGTCTTGGGGTCGAGACTCGCCAAAGGGGCAGGGCTGGAATGCCGGTCAGAGGGAGGAAACTGAACGCATTGAGAGCAGAGTTTAAAAGTGAGGAATGAGTTGAGGTTTAGAGGCTAGAGGGCTTGGGTGTTATTTTGAGGCATGGAATCTACATGTTATTAGTGGCAGGTAGGAAGATCTTAAGGATTATTCACATATCTGGCCAAGATTATTTGTTAAGAAGGTGGAGTCAGAACAGTTATTCCTGTGGGTTGAACTCAGAACAGTTATTACTGGGGGGCAGGGAGTAATCTCTAGATAGTAAAATGATGGGCAAGTCTTGTGTGTGAATTGTAGAGACCAGGTCAGAATGCTAACTCAGAGGACTGGTCCTAGGGTGTTTTCTTGGTATGTCCTTCTATGTCCCTTTCTGCCTCTTTCATCCTCTAGCAGTTAATGTTCTGGATTCTGCGGATATAGAAGTCACAGATAGTCGCCTGCCTCATACCACTCTTGTGGAACATCAGTCCCAGGTACCACTTCCTCCTTCTAGTCCATTCCACCTGCCTTGAGGCTGGCAATCTGTATACACTGGTGTCCTTACTCCAGCATCGTCGATCAGATACCCTGGGTAAATGTACTGTGCCAGTGACCCAGAGTAAGGCAAATTGTGCTTCGAAGCCACTCCAAACCTCTGGTCGGTTCTCTGTGGAGCTTGTGCGTGGTCCTGCAGGCTTTGGCCTCACCTTAAGTGGAGGAAGGGGTGTACCAGACGATGCTCCACTGGCTGTGCGTGGGTTGCTGAAGGATGGACCGGCTCAGCGCTGTGGTTTGCAGGTTAGCCCTAAGTTATCCTGCATTCTCTGCCTTTGTCTAGTGCTGCTCATCTGTCCTTCCTATAATACTACTGCCATGTGCTTACAGGCTGGGGACCTAGTGCTTCTTATCAATGGAGAGTCAACTGATGGCCTCACACATGCCCAGGTCCTGGAGCGGATCCGAGCTGGGGGTCCCCAGCTCCATCTCCTCCTCCACAGGCCTCCAGAGATCCAATGCCCCCGAAAACTTGAAGGGGTGGAAAGATCCCAGAAGGGAGGTAAGGCGGTGGGTTTTCCCAGGGGAGAAGGGCAGAGATCTAAGAGGGGAAGGAGAGGCTCGCAGAGCAGAAAGGCTAGGGTCCTAAGTGGAAAGGGTTTGGTGGTCTCAGTGGAGAGGATCAAGGTTCCTTATCTCAGTGTGGTTATGGTATGCTCAAAAGCTGGGATAAGGGGCTGGGAATGTGGCTTAGTGGTAGATTGCTTGCTTAGCATGCATAAAGCCCTGGGTTTGATTCCTCAGTACCATGTAAGCAGAAAATGCCAGAAGTGGCATTGTGGCTCAAGTGGTAGAGTGCTAGCCTTGAGCAAAAAGAAGCTCAGGGAGAGTGCCCAGGCCCTGAGGTCAAGCCCCTGGACTGGCAAAAAAAAAAGGGGAGGGGGAAGCTGGGATTAGGAGAGCCCATCTCAGGGAAGGAATTTCAGACAAGCTTTCTAGTATGCAGAGGAGAAAAAGGAGGTAATCTGGGTTAAACTGAGTGTTTAGAAGGAACAGTCTAAGTCCTTGGAAGTGGAAAGGTGGAAATGGATTACAGCAGGGGGAGATAGCATGGTAGGGGTTCCATTCTAGATAATTAGTCAAGGAGAGGAAGGGTTGCGAGCCAGTGGAGGAAGGATGTGGCAAGGGAGGAGATCTCATGAAGGTGAAGTTCCCACTCCCAAGGCTAAGGTTGTTTTGCTTTCTTTTGGGGATTGCAGGAAATTCTTTCTGAGGAGAACGTTCTAGATCAAGGTGGGGAGAGGTCACAGAAAACAGGTGTTGCGGTTTGTGAGGGGTAGCGCTGGTCGCTGGTCACTGAACAGCACCTCTACTTCCTGAAGGAGGTTTTTCCCAAGAGGCGGGGTCTCTGTTGCCGTCATTGAGCTTTCTCCGCCACGGTCAGCTAAGGACCCCAATTTTTCCACTCCCCACCCCACCGCCCGATCTAACCTGAGGTATTTCCATCCTCAGATCGCAGTCCAGATCCTAGGAGTCCGGGGACCATGAGATCTCAAAGCGCCAGCATTTCCCCAGTTCAGCACTCTCGATCCAGTAGGATGCCTAAGATCCGAGGAAGCCTCGAGCCTAGACCCCAGGCAGTGTCTGACAGCCCTGAGGTCCCTGTTCTGGAGCACTGCACAGAGGACCTGGATGATCATATTCCTACTTCCCCGGGGCCCTGGCTGGTGCCCAGCGAAGAGCGGCTCTCACGGGCCCTAGGAGTCCCGAGTACCGCGCACCTAGATCAAGAGTTGACTGCCGGAAAACGAAGACACTGAGCTGCCAGCTCTGAGCTCAAGTGCTGTGGTCCAATCTGGATCAGGCGTACTCCGACAGGCACGCACTAGCAGCGTCCTTCAGGCTTCCTCTTGGCTTGGTCCCCTATCCCTCTGGTTCGCACACCCCTCACATTGTCAGTGGTACGGCCCTCCCGGACCCCCTCCCTCCCCATCTCCGCGCTAGTTCCGGGAGAAGAAAGTAATAAAAAATGGTTGCATCCAGTCTTGACTTGCCAGGTGCCCCAGGCGGGGTGGGGCTCCCCAGTCCACCCTGGACGGAAGGGGGTGGGTCGATCTGGTTTCGAGGAGGGCCTCTCGAAACCACCGGCCAGCGGTGTGCAGTTTCTTTTATGCCTCCTCTCCTCATTCTCTTGACCAATTCCTGCTTCTCTCCCTATCCATTTGGAGGTGTGCAAGGGCTTGCACACACACACACACACAATGATTGCTCATGGCACGGGTGGTACTGGTGCAGAAGTGAGCCTGTCCTAGCGGGAGTGCCCCAGTATACGCACAGTTGCTGCTCACAATCATCCAGATCCTCAGCTGAAGTTTGGGACAGCAAATCTAGAAGCAGGGTGGTGTCCTTTGCTAGAAGACTGTGGTCTCCCACTTCCGGCCTAAAAGATCAGCTTTTACTGGCTTGAAAACTGCCACCCTCCCGGGCCCCAGAGCCCCCTTTGGGATAGAGCCGGGAAGGTGTGAGTCAGCAGGCAGGCCAGGCCAGGCTAAAAAAGGCTGTTAGAAACCTTGGGCCACGCCCCCTTTTCCATAGATGGTGACAAAAACTGCAGCCTGGGCTTGTGTGCACATGCCATGCACTGGGTGTTCCCGGTCCCGGGAGAGACCCAGAGTTTCCTCCATCCTGGGAACTAGGCTCCACAGTCCCGGCTTTTATAGACAGTGGGATTCCAACCGAGGTAGCACTGAGGCAGGTGCTAGCCAATATCAGAAATATACAGTCACCTCTGTTGTCTGTCACCACATCCTGAACACACCCAGCCCCCCCCCCCAAGGAGAGAAGCTGTGGTTAGACCGGAATAGGCAACTTCCCCGCACCCCCCATGGGAGGAGGTGGGGATGGGAGAGAAAAATTACATGACCTGAGTATGAAATTCTGGGTGTGGGGTGCTGGCAGGGCAGGGACTGCAAAGCCAAATCATTTTTTTTTTTAAAGACAGGGTCTCACTAAATAGCCCTTAGCCCAGATTGGCCTGGAACTTGCTATGTAGTCCAGGCTGTCCTCCAACTCAAAATTTTCCTGTCTGAGTTTCTCAAACACTGGGAATACAGGCATGTGCCACCTCACCCTGAGTAGAAGTGACCATTTGAATAGTCAGTGCTGTAGACATTGTAAGGGACTGTGTAAGTGGCTTCTAAATACCCCTCCCTGACTCAGCTTGGTGAAATCATGACTCTACAAAAGTCAGGAAAGGACTCTAGCACCTTATTCTTATAAATATGGTTACACCCAGAGGACCAATAATAGTAACCCCAGCCACCTTTTACTTAATCTCATCTCTGCTACTGGCTTTAGTGCAATATTTACAAACCTACTCAGCAATTCTGATCAGTGCATTTTATAGAGGAGAAAACTGAGGCTCAGAGATTTCTAATAGCTTGAGGTTAGGAGGAGGTGGAAACAAGATGAATCAGTCTGTCTTTTTGATCTCATCTGTATTTAACAAGTAGCAATTGAACTCTATATCTTGCACAAAAGTAGGAACTATAGAAATGCTGGAGGAACAACACATACATTCCACCCTTGTGTAGTTGGTCTAGTAAGGCTACGCAGATGTAAGGGAAAGAAAGATATGAAAATGAAAAAATAAAAAGATAATTTCAGGCTGGGAAGGTGGCTCAGTGGTAGAGTGCTTGCCTTGCATCCATGAGGCCTTGGGTTCGATTCCTCAGCACCACATAAGCAGAAAAAGCCAGAGGTGGTGCTGTGGCTCAAGTGATAGAGTGCTAGCCTTGAACTGAAGAGCTGAGGGACAGTGCCCAGGCCCAGAGTTCAAGCCCCACAACCGGCCCCCCCCAAAAAAGAAAAAAATGTACTCATTTTCTTGCCCATGTAATTGTAACCCCTCTGTACAGTATTTTCACAAAAAAAGATAAAAAAATTCAGAGAGACACAAGAGTTCCAAAAATATTGAAAGGTCCTAGCCACTCAGCAGGCTGACATCTGAGAATTGTGATTTTGTTTGTTTTATGCCAATCCTGGGGCTTGAACTCAGGGACTGGGCAGTGTCCTTGAGCTTTCTTTTACTCTACCACTTGAGCCACAGCACCACTTCCCGTTTTCTAGTGGTTAATTGGAGATAAGACTCTCACAGACTTTCCTGCCCAGTCTGGCTTCAAACTGAGATTCTCAGATCTCAGCCTCTTGAATAGCTAGGATTACAGGTATGAGCTATCAGTGCTTGGCAAGAATTGTGATTTTGAAGCCAACCTGGGCAGGAAAGTTCACGAGACTCTTATCTCCAATTAACTACCAAAAAAGCTGATAGAGGAGGTATGCCAGCTTTGAGTGAAAAAGCTAAGGCATAGTGCCCAGGCCTTGAGTTCAAGCCCCAGTACAGGCAAAAATATTGAAAAAGGAGGGGCTGGGAAGGTGGCTCAGTGGTAGAGCGCTTGCCTTGCATGCATGAGGCCCTGGGTTCGACTCCTCAGCACCACATAAGCAAAAAGAAAAAAAAAGCAGGAAGCTATGACTCAAGTGGTAGAGTGCTAGCCTTGAGCTGAAGAGCTGAGGGACAGTGCCCAGGCCCAGAGTTCAGGCCCCACGACCGGACCCAAAAAAAAAATATTGAAAAAGGAGGTTATAGTTGGGCATGTGGTACATTTCTGTAATTCCAGTATTTGGGAGGCCCAGGCAGAAGGATTTTGAGTTTGATCCTAGCCTGAGCTATATAGCAAAATTCTGTCTCAAAAAAAAAGTTGTTAAGAGCAATGATGGTAGACTACTGGCCTTTTGAAGTCCTAATAATCAAGCTAGGGCTTGAATGATCTCAAGCTAGATAAATTAAAAGGGGAGGGGGAGGGCATTGATTGCAGTGGAAACTGAAAGTGTAAAGGCCCCCAGAGCAGCCAGATTTGTTTTGTTCCAGAAATTGAGGCATTCATCACAGTTGGAAAGCACATACTTGGCACTGGGAAAAATATATTTCAGCCCTTCTACTTACTAGCCTTGGTGGAAAAAGGAGAGCCTCTTCAGCTTTGAGAGGACCCGTGTTTGGGAGTCGAAGAGTAGGTAGGCTATTGGGATAAATTTTCTTATTCTCTACTTCCTATGGGATGAGAATAAAACCAACACCCATTCCGGGTGAGGGTGTTCATCAGAATACCTCGAGGATACTGATTCAAAACAGCCAGGTGAATGTCTCATGCAACTGTGAAGGTAAGCTAGGAGGAATTACTTGCTGAGAACAATATATTCTGCAAATATCAACAACTTTGCCATTCAGCATTATGCTACAAGGGCTAGCCCCTTATCTTGCCCAGCACCCTGCAATAAATTTATTCTCTTTCCCTATTCCGCATCTAGAGCTAGACTGGTCACCCATCTCAGAATCAGAAAATTGAGGCCCAACATTTAGGTCCAGAACATTCTTGAAGTTGCAGCTTAAGAATCTGGCCTTTGGCTATCTCATCTCTAACCTCTTTTAACAATGTTTGCCCTTCTTTATAGGGAAGCTGTAAGTCTTCAGGCCCTGTTCTTGCTCAGCCTTTCTGTTAGCACAGCCTCAATTCTTGTCATTGGTAGGAGTTTTATGTCACATTCCATTATCCTTCTTTCTTTCTTTCTTTCTTTCTTTCTTTCTTTCTTTCTTTCTTTCTTTCTTTCTCTCTCTCTCTTTCTTTCTTTTTTTGGGTGCAGGTGCAGGGGCTTGAACTCAAGGTCTGAACACTCTCCCTTTGCATTTTTGCTCAAAGGCTGGTGTTCTATCACTTGTACCACAGTTCCACTTCTAGCTTTTTGCTGGCTTATTGGTGATAAAAATCTCATGGGCTTTCTTGTCCAGAATTAGCTATGGACCTTGATGCTCAGATCTTAGCCTCCTGAATAGCTAGGATTATAGGCTTGAGCCACTGGAGCATAGCTTCACATTTTATATTTTATCCATAATTCTAGAATCTATAAGGTTCCAGAAACCGACTGCTCCCTCCCCAGTCTGGTACCATTTAAAGTGTACAGAACCAGATATAACCTAATTAGTAACAAGTATCCATGGTGTTATTCACTTATTGCAAACATGTATACCTTTCCCTGGGAAAACAATGAACTTTTAACATTCCATACTCTGCTGAGAGTGTTAAGTAATATACCATATGTAAATTGAGCAAGCTTTCTAATACTCAGAATATTCAGTCTTTGCGAAATTTACCTGCCCTTACTCCTCTCCAGTCTTGAGCTTAAACATGACCTCAGCATTTGGCTAAGGAAACTGAGTCACTCCTTTCCAAATCCAGATTCATGTGCTTCTGAATGGAGCCAGTGCACACGAATCTCAAAAGGCAAAAGGTCTCGATATTCCCTGGTACCAGGGAATGCCAAGTGTTTCCAAGATGGGGCACCCCGGGGGTTGTTCCCTCGGCCAGGACAGTCATCGGCGGGGCGGGGCAAGGGGGCTTCCGGGGCGGCAGCCACCTGGCCCGGCCCCCTCCGGCCCCGCCCGCTTCGCCTCGCCGCGGTGATTCACTCCCTCCTTCGCCCTGGGGGCTCCCTTCCCGGCCAGACGGCGGGTAAGACGGCTGGGTGTGCAGCGTCCTCGAACCCACGAGCCAACGAGCAGTTCCTCTGCGCTCCTAGGGACACTAGTCCACACCATGGCGGATTCCGAGCGCTACTCGGCCCCTGGCTGCTGGACAGCCTGCACCAACTACTGGCGTACACGAAAGGGACTTCTTCTGTTCGCTGAGATTGTGAGCTTTCCGGGGCAAGCTGCCGGGGTGGGCAAAGGCTGGGCGGGGTGGCTGGACCACGCGGTACTGGACGATCAGTGTGAAGCAGCCACGTGGCCAGAGCGTTCAGCAGTGGGGCACAGGTTGGGTGGGTTCGTGGAGGAGACTCGAGACTAGGGGTGCAGGGGGAATCGGTGTATTTTTTTTTCTGGAGAAGGGTAATGGTGGTCGGAAGCTGGTGGCACACGTGAAGTGATCTGCCTATAACTTATGCAGGG